GTTTTTTTTTGATCGAAGCTTATAATTAGATTTGCCTCTCATGGGGAGATATCCAACAAAAAACCGACAAGGGCGTTTGAGGGTCTCATTACAATTACTGATCCTCCATATACTCACGCAATGGCAACAATTTCAGAACTATCGGCACATGTCTGAGCCCTTGCATGAACTTTGAAGTTTGGCGAACGAAACCAATGTATCTGAGATTCTTGTGACTATACAACGTACAGAGATTCGCGAATCTCGATTGTTTATTTACTTGAGGACGACGCCAGAACGTCTCAACCAGGAAAGCCTCCTCGAGCCATCTTACGTGCCCTCTGATCTCTCCTATTATGATTCGCCCTCGAGCCCTTGTTGGCTTCCTTTCGATTGCGAGCAGCCTCGGTTTCCTTATCACCAGTTGGTCCGGCGACGTTGCCTCGTCCCCGACCTCTGCCTCCACCACGAGGAACGCCCCGCAATCTACCTCCCCTTCCTCGGTCGTTTGCATTATCAGAGTCTTCGGTGCCGGATCCATTCGCTCTCCAGGCGGTAGGGCCCAAATCTCTCTGAGCTCCTGTAAAGTTGGAGAACTTTGCCTCCAGTTTCCGCATCTGTTTCTGGTCGCGAGACAGCATAAGACCCCACCCTTCAATTGCTTCGTCAGTCATTCCAGTCTCATTTTTGAGCATCTCTCTGGGCTTTCCTCTACGAGTTGCAGCATCACGGCCAAAGACATCAGGGGTAGCCTTGTAAGCCTTGAACAGAGCTTCATCATGTGCATCTCGAACGTCTGAGATGTTCTCCTCTGGGTTATTCCCAGGGGCTGCGAAGTCAACTGTTCCTCCGACGTCTTCGACATCGTAGGTGTCGTCTCTTTCATCGTCGTCTGAGTCGAAGGCAGCCAATGCTGAAAGGATCGCTGCTTTGCTAGGAGCATTAGCTCGGTCCTGAAGGACATCATCTGCATTCTGATTCGGATTTCGGTGTCCGAAGTGCAATCTTGAAGCATCGACGGCCAGCTTATCGAATTCATCGTCATCAAAGACATTACGGCGAGTAGGCATTAGAGGAGGTGTAGAGCTAGGCGCCATATCAGGAATATGCTGATAGTTTGTATCACTATGGGAAGTTAACAGCTGTCAGAGTTGCATGGCACGGGGAGTAACTCACAGCTCTTCTGATCGGTCTGCACTTTCGAGGTGCGGTGGCAAAGAACCTTCCAAGAGATGAGCAATTACTTGCTCCGCATTATCATTGTACTCATCGAGAAGCTTAACGACGAACCCAGATCCAAGATCCGGAAACAAGTCCTGGACTTGGGAAATTAAGCTCATTCTGTGGACGTGAATCTGTCCATGACCATTGATATCTTCAATGGAAATACCCTTCCCCTTGTTGCCCTTGCTCCTGTTAAGTCGCACTGGACGACCCGTGGTAGGCTTCTTGAACTCCGCAAGAGATTTAAGAACCGATTTGGCTCTGACGGAGCCGGACCCACTTGCATCAATTCGTTGCTGGACTTGATTCAAAACAGGAGTGTCAGTTACCAGCTCAGCAATCAGTGAATCGTTAACGTTTGTCGGTCCAGCCTTGTGCGTATCTGCAGCAGCTTTTAGAGAGTAAAGCTGGTCGACCAGGGACGAGAATTTTGGCTTCTCGCCTTCCGTAAGTCCTATCAAACAAAGATATAAAGTTGAGACGATGGCTTTCCGTAGAGGAGGATTCATGATCTTGTAGCAGCTGATGAGAGAATCCACAAAATCACTACCAGCCATGAAGAACGAGGCAGCTTCAGGAGACGCATGGAGAAGATGGTTCAGTCGATTGAGACTCAACTCGGCCATCTTCAAATTCCCCTTCAGTCCACCTTCTAGTTCCTTGATTAGAGAAGCTTTGAGCGAGGCCAGGGACTTTTCCAGTGAAGCCAAATGCCGCTTCCATGCCAGAGACACGAGCTTGCCGCCATTCTTGAGACCGTAGATTTTGCTGAGGTCCGAGAGAAACTCCCAGTGGAGAATGGATTCCGGAGGATACTCAAGATCCAAAGCTCTCCTTGAAAGGAGGTAGCAAAGCTTGCGGAGCTGGTTTGTCTTCGAGAGCGGTACGGAGGAGGGCGATAATGCAGATTCCGTAGCATATGTCTTGAGGAATATTGGCAAGGATTCATCTGTCTTTGCCAGTCGAGAAAAGTCCGCAGGGGGTAAAGAGAGATGCGCTCCAGTAAGCGCAATCCAAGCATCGAGACAGGCCTCCCATTCTTCCGGGACGAGATGATCTCTCCAGGCCGTCTCTGGGAATGGGACCAGAGCTGGTAGAGATGTCATCACGCGGCAGGAAAGGTAGGTGTTGTTGAATCTCCTTCCGGATATTGAGGTTGACAGTTAGGTATCACAATTCACGTGATCGGTCAACCAAACTGGATGACGCAGTGCAGAGAGGCAAAGCTGAGTGGTGTAGGGCAAACTAATCAGGTCTAGCTTTGATCGCTTAGAGAAACGCCGATCCCCGACGCCAAGACTTACCGCCCACACTGACAAACCGACAAACTGATAAACTGAAATCGCAAAGTCAGATCTAAATTCCTATCTCTATCGACAACAATTCTCCCGATCACCTTCATCACTTTGCCGAATCAAACGATCGAGTCGTGAAGGAACCTCCCAACCACCAAAATGTCTTACCAAAAGCCCGAGAAGGAGTTCGGCGAGGGCCCAGTACGTTGGCGCACGCAGAAAACCCGGCCGGAGGCGCATACTGACGATGGTATTCGCAGAAAACCCACAAGATCCGTATCACCTTGACCAGCCGCAACGTGCAGTCTCTCGAGAAGGTCTGCACTGAACTCATTGACCGCGCAAAGACCAAGGATCTCCGTGTCAAGGGCCCCGTCCGTCTCCCAACCAAGACCTTGAAGGTCACCACCCGAAAGACCCCCTGTGGTGAGGGTTCCAAGACCTGGGATACCTTTGAGATGAGAATCCACAAGCGCCTCATCGAGTACGTCGCCCGGCATATATGGTAGTTGTGGCGCAATGCTAATATTGGTACAGTCTCAATGCCCCTACTGAGGTTGTCAAGCAAATCATCATCAACATCGAGGCCGGTGTCGAGGTCGAGGTCACCATCGCTGCTTAAGTGTAGCTTGAGGGATAGACCCTTGGTGGAGGAATGGGTAGTAATCATATAACTTCCACGCTACGAAGGAAGATACTCAATGCAAACCCAATTACTGAGACAACAAAGATGTTCGCTCTGTACTTGTGCTTGGAAATGTGATGCGCCCTAACGTGTGAGCGTAGAAATGGATGCTGTTTCGCAGATATTCTGGCAGTTTATAGGTTTGCAGTGAATTTGAAAGTAAAGCGACAGCTCATAACATTCGTGACATGGCCGTAATGTTCACGATACTGCGCGTGCGCCAGATAAATGGTAGGGAGGATCCTTCCGGGTAGTTGTGAATTACGAGTGATTATGAATTTGTGATTCTAGATCTGGCGATTTAGCGGTCTAGCCAATTGACCTCGTTGCCTACTCGGAGCTCCAGACGTCGTCTGTGCTCACTCTTTCGAAATTTAATTAACGTTGATATAAATAAAATCCGGCCCCTCGGAACATCTAACTCAAAACCGTCATGATGCCAGAGTGGTTAATGGGTAAGACTTGAATCCTCAGCGATAGATATCTTATGGCTTCGGCCTCGCAGGTTCAAATCCTGTTCATGACGTGAATCAGTCCACCTATTCTTTTTGCTATTTTTGCACTGTTGCAAGAGTATGTACCGGTACATACAGGTTTCCAAATCTTTCTGTTGTTACACACCAGCAGTACGTACCATGGCTAACGACTGCGCATCGATTCGCAACCACCAACCAGCCTTTATCAATGACTCATTATTGAGCACACTTTTTTTTTGCTTTAATAAATACCTGCCGCGAAGAGCTTCGAAGTGTTGCATCCCAGGAGATTCTCTCTCCTCTCTCAGCAGAGTAGCAATCCAATCCATCCCATCTTCCCCCGCACTGCATGTAATTTTTTTTCTCTTTCTTGTGGCTCTCTTCTTTTTGGCGATCTCAGTGCATCTAATATCTCGGTAGGTCGTGCTGGGCGCTTAGCGATGCTAGATACACTTGACTCTCCTACGTAAGTAGTACGTTCTTAAACTCGCCTTTCATTTCAACTATTCAGTTCCAAGGACCACGAATTTCTCCTGTAGAGCACGCCAGTAGAGCAGACGGATGAACAGATAAGTTTCATCAATATCAATAATCGAATAATTACAATCCGTATCTACTCAAGACCCAATAACCTTCATCTACATCAACGTGGGCTTCTTCTCCTTGAATGTCAAACCGCCCCCGAAACTGTGCTCGCTGTTCTCGCCTCCGTTTGTGACCTTGCCCTCCGTCACGCCCGTCTCGTACGCACAGCTGCCCATGTCGAGTTTCTGGGCTGGCCCGGAGGGCGAGATGTCAAAGTCAAAGATGTCCATCGGGAGGCCCAGGGTTGTGCAGGCACTAGAGTAGTCTGTCAGCTTCACGTTGCAAGCAGTGGAGTGGGAGAAATTATACTTGGGGATATCCACGATTCCGGCGACATGCCCTTGGACGGGGGCGCAGGACAGGAGGAGGTAGACCTGGTAGTCCGAATATCCGAAGCGACGGAGGTATTCAATACATCCTGGAACAAGTTAGTGAGCGCCAGAAAAAAAAAAAAAGGAGTGGGAAAGGGAAGCCGGAATCGGAATGTACGGAGAATGGTCTGTCGGTAAGCAACAGTTACATCCATGTAATGCTATTCAGAGGTCAGGTCCAATGTTCTCGCCTCCAGGTGCAAGATTGACACACCTGCTTTCCATGCTGGTCAACCGAGAAGCCTTCAAACGTCAAGTACCTTCCAGGGCCATAGTGCGGCTCAACAGGTCCAGGAAGATAGATTGGAGACTTCATGCCTAGATCCGCCATCCCGTTCTTCATGACCTTGAAATTGATGGTGATAACACCAGACATCTCAATGGCACCACAGAAAGAGATCTCGCCATCTCCTTGGGAGAAGTGCAGATCGCCGACGCTGAATTTGGCACCCTTGACGTGGATGGGGAGGTAGACTTTGCTACCTCTGCTGAGGTTCTTGATGTCGCAATTTCCCCCGTGTTCAGGACGTCCTGGGCCTGTTTAGGCGAGCATGGTAAACAGTTGGGCACACTGTCTTACCTGGAATAGTCCTGGCTCCCTCGCGACCAACTTTTTCCTTGATCTCCTCGGATGCTGATCCGGCGTGAACATTTGTTGGGTTGGGAGGTTGAGCAACGATCCTGTCGAGCTCGTTTGCTGCAATCAGCGCTCCCTCACGGGTGTTCCATGTCTTCAAGATCTGATGGGATTTTTTGTGAGCAAGTTCTGAATTCTAACATAGTGGATGACTGACTGACCTCAGCAGATGGAGCACACCCTAAGATACCCGGGTGGATCAATCCTGGAAACTTGACATGTGGAAGATGGCGAGATGTGCAATAGATTCCCTCAAAATCCCAGATTGCCTTGGCACTATGTATGAATGTTAGACATTTAATCTCTTTACTTCAATCCAAAAGTCCTCTTTTGTACACTGAGCAACTGTAAAAAACTCCTCGCCAGACTCGAGGCTCAACATGTAAAATAGGAAGCAAGTCGATCTCTTGTATTCACAAAGGTTCAAGCAACAAGCACGCCTGATTGTATGAATAGTGTCTAGGCGTATTCCAACAAGCAGCAGCTGAAAGTTCGTAGTCCAAAGATGCACCAACTCGCTACAGGAAAATTGCACTTACGCATCGGGATAAAGCTCATCCAAGAACCCTCCACCGTTCTCCTTATGGAATATACCTAGCAAATCATCAGCGAGCTCACCTCCGAGGAATACCCAAGTTATTAACCAGTCTAGGCACAGTCAGCAAATATTCCACACTTTCTAGAGACGAGTTACTTACAAATCCCCAGGGATGATCTTGATGCGGCTGGACATCCATAATCTCTACTAGCAACACGTCTCCAGGCTCTGCAGTCTCTATCTCGAAAGGTCCAGACAAGTAATGGATCTTGGTGAGATCCACGTTCTTGACGTCGTCGGCACTGTCGTTGTTGCCTGCACTACTGTGAATCAATGCTGTATCGCAACGATCCGATGTACTGACCGATTTGGCCTCCAGTCCAATCGACCTAGATAATGTTAGGTAATGTTAGAGTGTGGGTGCGAACTGTTGCGCAGTCACATACGCATTCAATCTTCACAGTTTCGCCATTCTTGATGGTTCCTGCGAAGGGAACATCTGGATGCCACCGGTTGTGCAGCTTTGGCTGCTGGTCCGCTGGGATGTCCAGAGAGACTTTACAGATGTTGCGGATGCCGACTTTACCCATGGTGGCTATGGTGGAGCAGGCTTGGGCACTGATATCGGGGCCGAAGAGACAAGTTCAGATTGAAGAAATTTGATATTTAGCAAAAATCAAAGATGAAGTTGAAGTGGAACGACATTTATTATTATTAGAGCTCTACATCCTTAGTAACCCCGCAGATTCGAGATACTGGTAGTAGTGGGGTTAATATTGTCCTATGTCATAGGAACGAATGAGGAGCTGTCGATAAGAGCTGGCCGGGTTGTCGCACAAACCCTCTTAGTACGATTTGCTGACTTGCGACTGTTCGAGCCTGGACAGACCGGCCAAGAGAAATTTCGCATTGGTTCCTGTTGCTGATTCCATTCAATCTTGTGTGAGGTGATTGGGCAATTCTGTGACGATATCCTCCTAGGACTCAACAAATTTACAAACAAATGCCTGTTTAGCTGTCATTGCTTCGTTTCTCATAGTGCACGTCAGAGATAGTTAGGAGTCAAAGTCACACTTTCGATCCTGCTATCCTTATCTTGACTTCAATTCACTGTATGCTGGTGGCGGTCCTGGCGGGACCCCTGAAGACATTCCAGTCTCTAGCGGATTTTGGGCAGCTGGGCTCGAGTCGGGTTTCTTGTGAGTGTGGGCATCGAGGTTCGAAAGCTTGAGGTTCAAGAATTCGTGCTTGTTCTTCCACTCTTGCTGGCTTGCGGCAAAACCTTCGCTTTGAGCTGGTGGTGGAGGCGGATCTGTAATCTTTGTAACGAGATATGCTGTGGATGCTTCGGCTATTCCGTAGATGAGAACGCCGAGCAGAGGGATGCGCAGAAAGATGTAGAAGCCAACACCAAATCCAAAGAGAAGTCCCTCTCTGTCGTGGAACCAGTGCTTTTTCTGCTCTTTGGTGAACCTGATTCGAGAGAAGTACGGCTCAAGCTAGTGTTACAGTAAGTAAACGGCCACAAAGCTATTGGAACATCTAGGTCAAAGGTAAAGATAATGAAGGGTGCCCAGAATTATGACACCCCCGAAGACCAGCGAGGGTAGGAGACGGAAGGAGAGCTTACCAATTCTCTCACCAAGCTCCTAGAGGAAAAGTAGCTTTGCAAGAAAATCACGAGATATCTTTTCGGTAAGAATATTCCGGTTCCAAACACAACGGCAGCAGGCCCGAGGCCTGCTACCGAATTGAAAGTATAGAAACTCGCTGCTGGAAGAACCAATCGACCGACGTATGGAATGTAAGAAAGTGTGAAGACTGCCAAAGAAATGCCCGCTTTCCTGCCGAATCTCATGAGAAACATCGTAACCGCCTCCGCCGTACTCTTAGAATGGGTGCTACCATCTCGAGTCGGGTATTTGCGTAGGTTGGTGTAATATGTCTCTCGCAGGCTTGAAACTTCCTCGCCTTTGTGCTTCTGATAGTATGTTTGGTCGACCCAAGCAAGTCGACGGGACCGTCAGCGGGGATCATCATGATTATGTTCGGAATGACCTACGAATCCATGAACCTACAAGTCTGTTAGCACAGATTTGTATGTATTTATGATGTATCTATGTACGTATCTATGTAAGAACACAAGAATGAGGAGCACTGACATGTTATCGAGAGTTGGCGTAATGTATCGCATCATAGTCATAAGAAAGAAAGGGACCTGTAGAACATAGTTCTGTATAAAGTCGAGACTATTGACAATGTCATTGTCCCATGTAGTGCTTGTGAAATCCACAACGAAAGACAAGAACCACAGTAAGACCTTGATCCCAATGATCTGCCAGAGCCGTCAACATCTCGGAGGGTTCTGGTTTTGGAGCAGGGCACCCCTACCGGAATGCCTATGAGGATTCGGATGGCAATGCCAGCGGCAACAGCTATAGCAGCTTGCTTGTAATGTGCGGATGTGAAGAGAGCAGGGTTCTGCAAAGCTCGCAGAGCTTTTTAAAAGATCATCAGCTGGGAGTTTGGATTCGAAGCAAAGGAAGCTTAATAATTGTCAAGTCAAGGTCTTACCACCAACGACAGTAAGCTGGGCGCCTCGCAGGACAGCATTGGGGTCAAAGTTCGAGATGTTCAGTTTCTTTTTGAGCAGTTCCTGGCTCAGGAGCGGCTTCTGGGACTGGAGATTCGATCTGCGTTCGGACATAGCTGCTGTACGGACTTATCACGGGGACGCAGCTCTTGGTCCAGATGTAGATGACGATGTTGTTGTCGTCGACGATGTGGAGGTCAGAGCGCGACGAGGTGGCTGTGAAGTCGGGAAGCTGGAAGTGGCAGTGTCAGGACTCAGGACGAGCTCCTCAAGGCCGAGGTTTTCTGGTCCGAGCTTCTATAGTCCGAGCTTTTCAAGTCAGAGCTTCTAGTCCCGTATAAGCCGTATAACAGTTACCGTATACTATGAGCTTCCTAGACGGTTGGAGGAGTCTCGTAGACACATATACTTCCACACAACCCCATTGCCCGCCTGCGCATTCAGATGCAGATGGAGATGCAGATGCAGACCAAAACCAACGTCCAATGCTAGACTCGACTTTCCCCCCAAACCTGTCTTCAATTCTTTGCAATTAAGCATTGATCGATCGAACGTGTGCGAACGCGTTGGCTGTACCTCCTGGACTTACTTATCGATCTGCAGCACCTCACTTCACCTCCCCCCCCCCCCCCCCACCCCCCGCCACGAGGTCCTATATCATGATCACTGGCACTGGCACTGGCACTGGCACTCGCACTCGCACTCGCACTCGCACGCACAATCCAGGAACAGACTCGCCATGGCGATGCCCTCAACGTCAGCTCCCCGGCGCTCAGTGAGCCTTCCCCCCCCGAGACTTGCCTCAAGCAGTCCGGATCCGCAGATTGAAATCCTATTTACCTTGCCATCTGCGCGTGTCATCTCCTTTTCTTCCAAACCTTCATCCAGGCCTGGCTCGAGTAGCGGAGCAACAAACACAGAGGAAGAGCCGGGAACTTTGTCGTGGGCCTCGCCATTCGAGAGAACTATCGCCGTTGGTAAATCTTCCCATCCGGTTATAGGATAACACACTGACTTGTGGTCCAGGGCCTTTGCGTATATACAGAGCCCCGGGGAGTGTGGCCTTCTTGAGTTGCGTCAACGCTCTGCGTCCGATACTACCGAAGTCTCAAGCATGGTTTGTAGATGGGACTGGGGCGAAATTCGTCCTTCAAATCAGGCCACCACAATACTGGCGAATCGAGATTCCGACTACGACTGCAGAGGAACTGCGGATGCTAGCTGAGCTCACGAGAATTCTGGAACAAGTCCTTCTTTTGGACAAAACCCCTTGCCCATTTGAGAGGGACTTTGTAGTGGAACTGCCCGCCAAACCAGAAACTCCGGTGAAGAAACGACCTTGGAGACCTGTGGAAAGACCACAGAGTGATGATTCCCCAAAATCATCACCACTAGTACAGGCTATAGCAATCGAGGACGAATCAAGGCCATCGACTCCATGTCCAGCCCCAAACCTCTCTGTATCTATGGAAAGAAGGCCAGCTAGCCCACCGACTCCCCTTCAGAATCGTCGATTGTCGTCCAAGAATTCCGAATGCGGAATTCTACCTGCAGTGGAGGATGTTGACATTTCAAAGATCACGTCTAGCAACCGTGCCAGTGACAATAAACCACAAAAGCTACCCAGCGGCCCAGCTCTCAGTGAAGAGAATCTATCATTGCTGAGGACTTCGGAATCGGAGTTCGTATTTGGGGGCTATGTCGCAGAAGGCGAGGAGAGCGATAGCTGTAGTGAAGCTACCAACAACAAAATTTTAACCCTCAGAAGCAGCACAGATGCCCATCCTCCACTTGCGGATACCGAAATCGAGAATAACAGACTACAGTCAATGCCGAATAGTAGTCGGTCGGTAACAGCACCTCCGCTACTTTCTCTAATTACATGCCCTATACCAAAAACGAGAACTCAATCTCCTCTCCGAACCGCAACATCTTTCGAGTCCGCGAGCTCCGAATGCTCGTCAAGTGTTGAGTCCTTCCATAGTACCCAATCTTGGGCGCCCCCATCGCCGCCGACTTCCGAACCTGGTTCACCGTCGACATATCCCTTCCTGCACGAGAACATCATCTTACCAAAGCGTTCTCTTTACACTCGTGAAGCTTCTGAGCTTACTGTTACACGTGAAAAATCGAGAGTCTGGGACATGACCGCATCGAGCGCACGATCCAAGGCACGGAGTTTGTCACCTCCTCCCAAGACACCGCCCAATCTGGTACATGATGGAAGTGACAAATCCGATGAAGAGAAGTATGAGATCACGACACCTCCAACTGTGAGGTCTTCGGTTAGGCATCGAGCCACTACAAGCAGTAATTCACGCCGACGAGAATTGTCACCACTCCCCGCCGCTGTGAACCTCTTTTCACCTCCTAGGCGGCGACAGCGCCATCTTCGGACCTCCAGACACCTTCCTACAGCCATCATCCAGAAGACTTGCGAAATATTAATGAGCCCGCCAAGCCATTTGTTTCACCTGATGATCAGCATTGCATCCAAGATAGCGGCTGGAGAATGGAGAGGCGTGTTATCAGGACATGGGGAAGCAGTCCACTGGGACTTTGAGGATGAATACGGCTCGAACACTCTGTACGAAGATGACTACGGCAATCCTATCTCCAAGACTGCCCCACCGAAAGCAAAGACCTCTGGCGCCATCGTCCCCGTTGGAACCTGTGAAATCGATTAGTCGATTTCTTTAACATATTTTGATTCAGATGAGTGTACTATTTTTTGTAAGATACCACTGTAATTGGTTTGCACTAGGTACAGCGTCGAACTATCTTGTGGAGTTTATGTATTATGTGGCAAGGAGCATTTGGGTCTCGGCGTATGTTTAATGTTACTGGACTCGGTACCCGACTATTATTGGTTTCGTTTTGACGGCCTGAAATAGCTGGCTGGATATCTTTCCGGATGGTCATGGAATTTATCGTCCATATTGCAAGTTAATAAGATGAAAGTCGATTAGGGGGGCCATTATGTTCCACAGCCCAATCATTCTGTGATAAAGTACTGAAGCCTGAAAACTGTTTCTATATTGCCAGCAGAGCTCTCTCGAACTGCACACACGACATTCACTGGCTTCATCAGGTTGTCGCATAATGAGATCCGAACTCATGTCCTATCTACTCTCGCCCCGCAACATGGAAACAAATTATCTCCCAAACCTCGCATCCCATTCGGCTCATCGCCAAGCTAAATACCGTGCCTTCTAGCACCCCTCGAACCCCCTCCGCACATTCTCAAATCTGGAGTGCGGATATTCGATGCAGTTCTCCCTCGTTTCCAGTCCCTTCAATACATCCACCACCGTCCCAATCAGACTATGCTTCCCTTCCCGATCCGAGCTGCTCTCCCACCACATCCCGCCTCCCAGATGATGCTTCTTGATCCACTTCGCCTTTTCCCGGGCCATCTCGCAGTTGTCATACGTAACCAGCTGTCTCTTGGCCGGATCATAACTGTACGTCGCTCTCGCCTCCTTATCGTACTTCTCCTCGGCTCCTGGCAGCGGCAGGGCCTTGTAATCAAAGACGCCATTCTCCCAACTCCCCTCTCCGATACCACTGTACGGCTTCCCGATCCCGTCGGTGTTCTGGAAGGCGCGGCCGTACAGCGGCATGCCCAGCACGATCTTAGAGGGGTGCACGCCTTGCGCCTGGTAGTGCCGAACCGCTTGATCGGTGTTGAACGGCGTCGCGGCGGTATTGCGGTGACAGGGTTTGAGGTTCGACTGGTGGGCCGCGCACGAGTCCCACGACCCGGCATAGTCGTAGGCCATCAGGTTCCAGAAATCGAGATGCGGGTCCATGCCGCGGATGTCCATGATACTGCAGTTCTGCGGCCCGGCGGGGCAGGCGACGGTGAGTTCGAAATGGTGTCGCCGCGGTAAGGTGGCGCTGTACGCGTCCATGGCCTTCCTGCACTCTTTGAGCAGGAGGACGAAGTGCTTCGCTTCGGCGGGGGACTTGGGGTATTCCCAGTCGATGTCCAGGCCGTCGAAGCCGTAGTCCTTGACGAGTTCGACGGCTGAGCAAGCGAACTTCTCGCGGCCGGCGGAAGTAGATGCTGGAACGGCAAAATTGGATGAGTAGGTCCAGCCGCCGATCGAGAGGAGGATCTTGAGAGCGCGGTTCTTCTTCTTCAGGAGGTTGAGCTGCTTGAGGCAGCCGTAGAGGTTGTTGCCCGTGTCGTTCCAGCTGTCGCCTTCGAAGTGAATGTCTTTGTCTGCCCAAAGATCTGTGAGATATCTGTGAACGTGTTAGTATACGTATATGAATAATCTAGGAACATGAGTTGGATCTCCAGACCTACACTTCTCCGCTATCCGGTCTCACGTTGGCAAACGCGTAGAGAATGTGAGTGAGCTTCTCGACGGGCAGATCCTGGGGTTTGTGCTTCCTTCCGTAGATAGCCCAGTTTACAAAATACACGACGGAACGGTACTCATCGCCTCCACCCATGTTAGTTTCTGTGATGTTGGGGGTGTTTGGGGTTTGGGATTTGGTTGGAAAATGGTACTATAGTGCCGAGAACTGGCAACGCGCGATGTATACGATATGTGAGGAAACTGATGAGAATGACAGAATTTTCGATCAACAGTGAAGTGGAGGAAGGGGATGGACTTTTGGGTGATGGGTGAACTGATGTTGCGACAACGATGCCGCAGGCGAGGACAAGTGGGGACAGGTGAGGCTTGGGATCAGTTCCAATCAATCACAAGGCTGAGTGAGCAAAGCTGGTGACAATGCTTCTGAACTCGGTGACTTGGGATAGATGTTGAACTTCTCACATCTGGCACAGCTTCTATTATGCAGAGTTTCATTCATTCATTCAACGATCGTTCGCATCTCACCAGCCCCGGATATCCTAACTAGAGCAGCTAGAGCACATATCCGGCGGCGGCAGAGCGTTCCTATAAAGCTCCTCTCTCGGGTCTGTCACTCCATACCCAAGTGGATCTCTCTGTCTAATAAAGTTGTCGATCCGCTCTTCTCTACTCCCGTAGGCGGTAGTAGTATCCTTCCGCGTACGCACGAGATCCTCAGAGATGGTCCGATGTAAGGAATCTCTTTGTTCCACAAACTGAGTTCCACTCCGACCAGCTCGGGAAGCCTGGCTAACACTACCAATGAGGGCAAAAGTCATGATCAAGCCGACGAATGTGCTGTTGGAAACGAATCTGGGTTCCTGCCGTTCTTTAGACTCGTTTTCTTGGTAGAATTCCTCCCAATCTTCCCAGGTTGCGTTCCGAGAGCAACGCCCCCAGTGAGATGCAGAACCTGGCTGATCCGGATGAGCTGCGACGTCTGGAGCCCCGTTCCATCCGGCTCCCCATGTGTCGTACTAGATCATGAGGAGTCAATAATTGCCATGTCTAGATGTTTTGCAAAGCGATTTAACAATTTCTCAGGACATGGTCTTACAGCGCTCCGCTTGATAGGATCCGATAAGATTTCATTTGCCGCAACTACTAATCTGTATCTCTCCAGCCTTGTAGTATATGACAATCCGTCCATCAACGATATATCGTGGCGGTCCGGGTGGTATTTTTTCACGAGGGAAAGCCATCTCCGTTTGGAGTAGGGGGAGCCTTTCTTTTGTCCGAAAATTTGGTATGGGGTGGGAATTCCATCCGCGGATGTGACTTCTGGCCAGCGCAGAGATCCATGGCTGTGAGTGCTGTGGCCATCAGAGACTATATATGAGCGGCGTTGCTGTCTCTGCATGAGCTTGTGCTGCTGCTGCCGCTGCCGGGTGGAGGTGGAGGTGGAGGTGGAGGGGGAGGTGGAGGTCGGGGTCAGGATCGGGGTCGCGTAGAATGATGACGTCTTTGAAGCCGGGGCTGAAGCGTGGAGAGAATGAAGATTGTGATAAGAAAAGCGGACGGCGGATTTCTTCAACATGGCTGATGGAAGATGCGGGTGTGGGTATGGGTGTGGATGTAGTTATGAGTGTGGGCGAGGGCAATGGCGAGGGGGATGGCGAGGGTGGCGAGGGCAGATAAATACATGTTGGAGAGCGAGGCAGAGAGATGGCGAGAAGGAGGGGTGAGAAGGCAAGAGCAAGAGAGAGCAAGTACGAGCGAATTGGTTGTTTGAGACTTTCCATCCTATGCCAAGCGGGTGCCAAGTGCCAAGGCGCCAAGACACTAAGATACTGAACAAGAACAAGTGCCCCTCGCTCGCTCTCGACAAGGGTTCGCGTCGCCCGCTCAGATGCTCTCGGAAAAGCGCGTCTTCAGCTTCAACTTCAGCTTCAACTTCAATTCAATACAGACCTTCGATCTGAACGCTCGACCACCGTCCGCTTCGATAGGAACCAACCTCTCCCTCCAGTTGCTATGAAGTGGTCCATGTCCAAACACCGATATTTCCGCAAGAGGGCTGGCCATGAGAGGATACCTGCTCTGCCGGCCAGCAATGACAACGATAACCTCAAGTTCGACGAAGGATCAGGTCAGATGTTCACTGAAACCTTCGTCCGCGCGCAGAGCAGCGCAGATAGAAACTGGAGCCGCCTTCTACGTCCCAGAAGCATCATCACATCCGACGCGCAAAATAACAAACGACGTATCCGTGGCAGTCGGGCTTTACGAGACCTTGCGATAGACAGCATTGTCGAAAACCTAGGCGATTTGACTTTCGAATGGATCCAAGAGCTACCAAAGCACTTGAAGTTACGCATATGGGCGCTGGCGAGGGAGAGGTCTGTTTGTCTGAACTTGTCTACTCCATACCTTTATGTTCTGCACTTCGACCCACTACGATAGGCAGGAAAGCTTACTCAGCACCTGAACGGATCAACCTCCATGCAAGCCAGGATAGCTGGAAGGGATATCTAGAGCTAGCCCACTTGAAAGTTCGAACAACAGCTGATGCAGAAATTCCAGATATACAGTTCCTTTGACAGTCTGGAGTATGTTTTCAAGAGACCTTTCCAGAGAAGATCGCATTCCCCTAAGTCTTCTGAGATATCGTCAACAGATTGAACTGCCTCCGTTGTCACTTGGGTCTTACTCGACCGCTATCACATCTCCTGGTTTTGACTTCCTCGCCACGCTGAGCATCACCACGGCCTTCCCTGTTTCCGACCTTGTCACCCTTTCAAGCATCACCAACTTGGCCGTTCTGGAGATTATTCATACTACCGGTCAGGTCATGGAATCTCCAGTCTCTGATCGGCTCCTACGAACCTGGCAGGAAGCAGCAATCAACAAAGGTGCTTTCCCAGTCCTGCGGATACTCAAGCTTTGGAATCACAATGAATTGACAAGTAATTCCATCCTTTATCTGAACAGCTTTCCTATTCTCGCGCTGTGCGATATCAGAGGTTGTAACTTGGGCGCTGATGCTAGAGCCAAAGCACAATCACTAGGCTGGAAGACATCTCTGGATCCCAGCACTCTCGCTCTTTATGAAGCTGCATGTGTAGAGAGGGCCGTGCGCTTGCGTATCATCGCTGATGGCCACAATATCGAACCCATCCGAAGAGCTCCTTCACAGCAGCTAGACGATAGCAAAACCATCAGCCGCTTACCCCGCAATGAAGTTGCAGCTTTCCTGACTAACCCAAGCCGATCGCTTCGACAACCAAAGCCCAGCCGCGCTGCGCAACGGTGGTCAGAGATCCAGATGGCTATCGATTCTCTTGTTGAGCATGTCGAATCTCCTCCGGTGTCTGGGCCCTGGGAATTTGGAGACTTCAATCGGGACCAGATGGCTAGGCGTAGACCGACATATGTCAAGCAAAAATGGGACTTTGATCTTTGTACCATCTTCTCTCGAATCGGTGAGTTGCGCAGCGACCGGGATCTGTCGAGAGCTGGTCTGGACATTGGCGATCAAGCTGTAGCGGATGACGAGCTTGTGAACTCCATCCCGATGGCGTCTCTGCGTCTCGGCCATTCCCCATCCTACCTCCTCTCCTCACGCATGAACAACCAGATCAAATCCCTCTACGGAAGTATGCACTCGGATTCAATTTCTCTCCCTTCTCAGATGCTCCTCCCTGTTCAGCGACCCCATCTCACTACAATCCCGGCTGATAGAATCTGTCCAGCGCCCAAAGTGGCGAGAAAGAAGCCCCAACCCGCCCCTGACATCCAGGACATCACCTTCATCCGGATCAAGGCTCCTCGGGCAGAAGACCAGCGCTCACCCACCGTAGAAGATGAAGTCGTGGAAGAGCTCGACGATAACGCCTTGAAGCGGAGCACTTCCGCAATGTCTACCGTGAAGCAGCGCTCTACCAAGTTCCTTCAGAACAAGAAGATGAAGCTAGGTGATATTCTGGGGTCTTTCATCTGATTCCTATGCGTGTCATTTTGCGCTGGCGAATGTGTGATTTGGAAGGCGCTACTTCTTCTGTTTTGTGATACCCAGGATGTACTTTAGATATGTCTGTTAGGCTAGGATTTCGTCAACCGGCGGGCTGGCGTTCGGGGTAATTTTTTTCTGCTTTTCTTTCTCTCCCTGCTAAAGCAACCAATGCTCACTCACCTTTGCCTCATTTGTCTTCCCAGACACGTGGGTTGGCTTTAGGCGGAAGAGACGCAAAGCCAGACATGGGTTGCGTTTGCTTGCTCTATCAGACACATCTAGTTGGTCTGAAAACGGCTCTGGCTCGGAGGTAGAAAGGGCTCATAGTTTAGTTGTCAGGAGCCTCGATGAATTTGGAACAGATCAAATCAATCATGATATTTCTCTCTTCCCACTTCTTCGGCGGTGACGTTATGAAAGAGCAACACGCATATGTGTGGTGGTGATTTAGAAGATGGCATGTCTTTCTCTCCTGTATAGCTTCTCGGAGGGAGTTAGTCATGGGACCTCCCTATAGTGATTAGACCCTGAAGTGGTGGCTCGGCTTGCACACCTAATGTGTAGATTAGATGTGGAGCAAATCCGTAATGCGAGTCTCTACCCGGGACAATGCACTGGTTACTGCCGAGAGAAAACATCAAGTTCTCACACTCTCCTCGAAACCTTGTTCAAATCTTCGCCATCCATTGTCTATCAACCTAAAAAAGCATGCAGCCGTGTGTGCCTCCCACCCCCACCCTGTTGCACTACCCATGACACATCAGCATCGCCAATTCCCGATGCGAATCCATGATGCGTATAACTCTCACGACCACCAGCTTCAACCAAGTCTCGTCTCCTTATCCTTAATGGGGATGTCCTTGCCCGTCGCACTCTTGTACTGGCCGCGAATAAAGTCGGAGATCTGCTCGTCCTTGGCCTGCTCAACGGCAGACTCGTTGTCCTGAGCGCCTTGGCCCATGAACTTCTCCTGAACGTAGTCGATTCCTGCGTGCAAATCATGTCATGTCAGCCGCCGTTCACATCCTTTCTTCCTTCGTGGCTCGAGAGTGTCCGGACTCCGTAGTAAGGTAAGGTGACGCTTAGGAGAGGAGTGTGGGGGTAGCTGGTTTGAGATTCAATGGGGGGTGATTGCTCTCCTACGTACCCTTATCTGGTTCTCGTTAGCATTGTGTAAAGAGGGGTAGCTGGGGAAAATCAATACCTAGGTAGTCCTCGTTCTTCTCGCTCTCCTTGCCGCCTCCAGCAGCGGAATTCAGCTTGTTGCTGAGGCCGCTGAGAAAACCGCCGCTGCTCTCGCCGGACTGCTGGGTGGAGCCCGAGTTTTGTTGCTGGTTCTGGTTCTGCTCCTTGTTGTCACCGCCGGTAAACTTATTGAGGTAATCCATGGTTGCGGTTGTTGGTTTGAGAGTGTGTGTGTAGAGTTGTGTTTAGGGTTGATGTTGTGTTGTGAAGGAGATGATGTGTTTTGTTTTGGGAGGAAGGAGGGGGGACTGAGGGAGGAGCAAGAGGGATGGATGGGTATAATTATCCACTCACTTCACCTCGTGACGGCTACCAAGACCTACGTCAGAGCAGAAACGGTTGGTTAAGCCAGTCAGCCAGTCAATCAGTCAAGCTCAATCCGACCGATAGGATAGGCCGGCGGCAAGATAAAGGAAACTTGTTTTGCGACGCATTTTCCATGAGGTTTAATGGGAGCTGCGCCTTGGCAGTGCGGGGCTAAAGGTTAAACGGTGAAGCCGGGTGGAATACATCTGCTGGTGTTGTGGACGAGGAGCCAGACGCCGTAATGTACAGAGAATCTGAAACTCGTCGCCTTAGGAGCTGGGTTTGACAAGAATGCCATTGGAGACGAGGTAGGCGAATGAAAACAGACCAGAGCGAGCTCGAGAGGTAGGGACGAAGAGACGAGGCGGCGAAAAAGAAGTCCCGAGTACAGAGTCTCTGACTTTCTTCAGATACCTGGAGAGCTTGCACGAGCCAGGTTCATGTCACATCACAAATATCCGTAGGAGTCTCAAGTCTTCAGTCAGCACCAGCTCAGAATTTGTGGTATCTCAAAAGTAGATACATTCAAAGCCGTGCCGTAGCCATCCATCCATGTTACACAACATTCCTTTACTTTCCGGCATCTTCGAAGATGTAGGTCAAGTGGCAGCGACCGCAGTATTGTCTGTCGTGCATGGCAGCCATGAACACACCGGCACCGCACTGCAAGATCGTTAGTTAGGTCGCAGGTCACCCAGCACTTGGAAAACTTACGTCGGGAGTGGGGCACTCTCGGCGAAGACGCTCGATCGTTCCATCACCATCGACCTTGTAGTACTTGAGAACCGCCAACTTGGTCTTCTTGCGCTTGTGCTTGATCTTCTTTGGGGTGGTGTAAACCTTCTTCTTACGCTTCTTGGCCATACCTCCACGGAGACGGAGGACGAGATGAAGGGTTGACTCCTTTTGGATGTTGTAGTCCGAGAGGGTACGGCCGTCTTCAAGTTGCTTGCCGGCGAAGATCAGGCGTTGCTGATCGGGAGGGATTCCTTCCTTGTCCTGGATCTTCGACTTGACATTATCAATGGTATCGGAGGACTCCACCTCAAGGGTGATAGTCTTGCCCGTCACTGTGTAATATCAGCGGATTTGCGAAATAGAAGTGGCGCTGGAGGCTCGTGATGCGCAGGAGACGTACGGGTCTTCACGAAGATTTGCATGATTGCCTGTGCAAGAGTCAGTTTCCAATGTTCCGTGGAGAGCAGCTGGCGTAGAACGTACCTAACCAACGATGAATTGGTATCCTTACAATCAAGTTGTCGTGTCTTTTGAGGAGAGGAGGAGCGGGATGCGAACGAAATTGAAAAAAGCGGTTTTCGTGCGCGGCCGCTAGCTCGCTCCAGCTCTAGCGCTAGTCTATAATCGGCCTAGATATTAGGGTTTCTCTTACCCATCGCCCTCTCCGCTGTCCCAAAAACCGTATGCGTAGACAACCACCGCGGAAGTTCACGTAGTCCAGAAAGAGGGCGAATGTTATTTATGGTATTCTCCATAAGTACTTGTCAGACGACGGACGATAACAAGTCCGACGAGAGAGGATGAGGAAGTAGCGAGACGAAGCTCGACACGACGGCCCGGGAGAAGTATGAAGTAACCCTGGAGGTCAGTCGGAAACAAGTTAGGGAATATCAGATCCTCTACCCTACTAGAAGATCAAATGTGCCTGGAACGTCCATAAGGATGGAGCAAGAAAAGACTCGGAATAGCCCATAAGAGCTTTGCGATCCCCTCGACGCCTCCTGAGTTGGAGTTCATTTACAGCCCAACAACGATAACAACAATCACCACCACTACTGATTCAAAGACACCTGTGATGCTCTTATCGCGATGCCAGGCAAGAATTGCCCCCGCGAATACCAGCAGCTAGTGGTTTTTTGATAACAGATTAGCATGGTACAGGATCCCGAACATTTTGTTATATTATATGAGGACAAGTTTGAGGATGGTTCCTGGCCGAGGATTTGCCATGATTACAAAATGTTGATTGTGACTGCTCCTACTTGGCTCATTCTATGAAAATTGTATCAAATTCTTACCATAAAATAGTAATGAATTCGGTTTTGGAGATTCGATCGTTACCTACCATACGTTGATGAAGTCGAGAGCGCAAAACACGTGACATGACTAATTTAAGCGCTAGACCTCAGGTCGCTAAAGGATATATGCGCACAAGAGCCCCGCGAAAATTAATTCTATTCCTCATCGTCAACAACTCCAAACCCCGAACCAACAACCAGCCAGCATTTGTCAATATGCCGAAGAAACGATCCGCCAACGGTCGCAACAAGAACGGTCGCGGCCACGTTAAGCCCATCCGCTGCAGCAACTGCTCTCGATGCACTCCTAAGGGTTCGCGTTCCAGCCCCGCAAGATTTTGATGTATGCTAACATGATGCAGACAAAGCAAGCAAGTCTTTCGCCCTGGTTGATATTTTGCTCTGCTAACTACCATACAGTCAAGAGATTTACTATCAGAAACAGCACGTGATCCATCTGAGCAAATTCCTTCATAAAACCAGCTTGCTAACTTTCTATAGTGGTCGAGAGTGCCGCAATCAGTTTGTACCCCCAATACGGAGACAATATAGGAAGATTTCGGCTGACTTGGTGTTCTTTCTCCAGGAGATATCTCGGACGCATCTGTATTCCCAGAATACACCGTTCCCAAGATGTACCTCAAGTTGCAGTACTGTGTCTCTTGCGCTATCCATGGCAAGATCGTCCGGTATGTCGCGCACTGAGAAGAACCTTGGTTGAACATCCTTTCTTGCGATGGACATCAGGGCTAACAATTCTCTCGCAGTGTCCGCTCCCGTGAAGGCCGCCGCAACCGCGCTCCTCCCCCACGTGTCCGCTACAACAAGGACGGAAAGAAGGTCAACCCCAACCAGGCTGCTGCCAAAACTACTCAAGCATAAAGGAGAGGAATTGGGTTGGGTGGAGCTGGAGTCACTTGCATGGAAACTAGGATGGACATCCGTCAGGGCTAGCCTCGAATGAATAAAGGTTGCTCGGAATGCTTTCCGAAACACTCACATGGCTACGATTTTGGACATGATCACCGTGACAAAAACTGCAGACAATCTCGAATTCGAAGCTGAGGAAAATCGGCATCTTTCCCAACAGAGGGCCGGATCCAGGCTTGCTGTTCGTGTCGGCCGGCTCGAGCTTGTCTGAGAAGTTCAAAGAAACTTCGCTACATGCGAGCTATGATGATCAACTCTTCCCAAGTCATCTCTCTATCTGGAGCTATAGAGCGACGCTGCAGACCACATATGGCCGCTATTCTCTACCAAATGCTGCCGGGAACTCGGAGACTCTCGTAACTCAAGAAGAAAGCGCAATCTTAAGCCGCTCAAGGGTCAAGGGGCATAATCTTGTCAACCCATATCCGTGTCCCCCGTCATTGCGCACTTGCCTTGATGCAAGCATGCTTCTGTCGGCTATTTAAAACGATCATGTCGTAACATTGAGGTGTTAAATATAACCAACCTTTAGCATGAAACCTGCTGGGAAGCCCGGAAGATCCACATCATGCCCGTGCAATTGAAAATATCATGTGATGATGTGATGATACCAGCAGCTGACAATAACCGTGACCGGACCGTGACCGAGTTGCCCCTCCTTCCTCCCAGCTACCTACCTACGGACGATTACAATACATACAACACAGTACAAGAGCAACTGTCAACCCAAACCAACCCATCCCATCCCATCCCACAATCCCATCTTGAACGAAAACGAACACATCGCATTAACCTCTCCAGCTACCAATTCGGAATCTCTCTCTCTCTCTAGCTTTTCAATCAACATGCCAGAACTCCATGAGCCAGTGGTATCCGTAAGACTTCCCAAGTCAAGTCCCGCCGGCTCGGATTTGGCTGGTTTCATGTACGCGTACATACATACTTACCAATCTGGTGATATCTATATAGGGTGAGCCTAGCACGAACGAAGTTGCTGCTCTGAAGGAGGCTTTTGCGCTATTTGTAAGTGATCATCTTTCTATCTATCTCTATACTCCGTTCTACCACGTCGATACTAAAATTTAATCAGGACAGTGACAATGATGGTAGCTTATCCTCTTTGTCCAAAACCTTGCGTAAATACTAAAAAGCCATCTGCTCAGGTGTCATCACCAAAGAGGAAATGTCGGCAGTCATGAAATCCCTCGGCCTCAACCCGACAATGTCTGAAATCGAGGACATGATTAATGAAGTCGACCTCGATCAAACTGGGACCGTCGATCTTGAAGGTAACCGTTGTTCCCGTCAGGCTTGACCGGTCCGCTTTCTCAGACTGATCCCCCCCGCCTTCAGAATTCATCAAGATGATGAGCATCAAGAGCAAGCCCTCCAATGTCGAAGACGAGATGCGCAGCGCCTTCAACGTCTTCGACAAGGACGGCTCGGGAAGCATCTCTGTTGAGGAGCTTGGCGCGCTGATGAAGACTTTCGGCGAGAACCTTACGGACGATGATCTCAAGACTATGATTCAGGAGGTGGACAAGAACGGTGACGGGAGTATCGATTGTACGTCATTCTTCGATACGAATTCCGGGGAGTGGTTGTGCTGATACGATGCAGATCAAGAGTTTCTCAATTTCTTCATGGAGAAGTGATGGCGGCATCTAAGCGACGAAGCAGATAGGAGCGAAATTATCTATCAAAGGAACGATCGTGTTTAGATCTCTTGCTACAGAATACCCATTTGATGACTCCAAGTCGCCCTATTTCGAATCTGTCCTCATGCACGTCCAGGAACCCTGGCCACCTATGTTTCTATAGCTACAAAAAGCCATCTACCAAGTACAGTATTGCAGCAGAAGCATGAGTCGATACGCCACCTTCTTCCTAACTAATCGCATCTTGATATTGCACGAGCTATGTCACATGCACGCAACTTAGCAAAGCACCATAACGATGTCAAACATCCACTGTTTTCAAAAAGATTGTATCAGCAGCGTCAACCCAACCCCCCCACCTAAACAGATCCAAATCCAAATCCAAATTCAAATCCAAATCCAAGCCAAACATAAACCTAGGCTCACATACATCCAACCTCCCTCTCATGGATCCAATCCCACCCCTCGCCCCCTCGCCCCCTCTCCCAAAGACCATTTGCGCTAATACACCTACTTATATTAGCCACTATAACTCGCCTTCATCATCATCAATGCTCGTCAGAGAGCAGAGAGTCTGGACTCTGCTGGAAGGGCCGAGGCGAGGTCGAGGAGAACGGTGAGGGGTGGGGTTTGCTGGTCGAACATTGTTGTTTGAACAGGTGGTGTAACATCATACTACTTTGCAGTGATTACCAGTCGGATAACGAGCCGCACGGGGGTGTTGTTTGTATTTTGAAAGTGGAGTTGAGTTGAGTTGGTGGCGGTTGTGAAGTAGCTGTTTGAATGGGTGGATCCGTTATGTACTCGCTACGAGCCCTAATATAGGTTTTTTTTTCTCTTCAAAAAAAAAACACTGAAATCAGAAAATGCATCACCCTGGATCAAGAGAACTAAAGTTTCCAATGGTATTTTGAATTGAAGAATATCCCGTATTTGAGTCTGTTCAACTTATGTAAACGAGTCAACCTCTCCCCTCAATTTGGATCATTATCATCTGTCTGAATCATCTTCAACAAAGCTGCCCTCGTCGTCTCCTCGTCGAAAGCCCTTTCCAGCAAGATCTCCAGCTCCCTAGCGATCAGAGCCCTCTTCTTTATATCCTTCTCCGCCAGCCGTGCCTGCCAGGTCTTCGTGAAGGCAGTAATCTGTTGGACGAGAACCTTTTCCAGCTCCTTCCGCGCGTCAAAGACCCTGTCGACAACTGCCGGGAGCAGGTTGCCCTTCACCAGAGGCGTGATGTAGGCGAGTGGGTTGAACAGCTGCTTGCGATCTTGCAGCTGCTGGATCGTGTCCCAGATGGGCGAGAAGTCGAGCTCGGCTGACTGTCGAATGACATCTGGGATCTCTTGGGTCATAAACAGATTTTCAATGAACATGAGGTTCCTGATGAGAAAGAGTTGCGCGTCCATGATATTGGAGCTGCGCTTGATAATTGTAGCGGCTTTTTGGAGGGACTCCGTAACTTGGTGGACAATTTCGTAGAGTACATCACTTGTTCGCTGTTGCAGATTAGTATTTTGGAGTGGTAGGCATTTGAGGAGTGGAGGCTTACAGGCCTGTCATAAACACCCTCGTTGTACATAACTAGCAATTTGACGGCAGTCTTGACAGTTGGGTATGAGTTAGATACCAGCGGGGCGTGGCTGCCATGCACCTGGACTCCATCAGGGCCCTCCCCATTTGCTGCCTTGGTAGTCTCATTCGTAATAATCTTCGCTTTAGCAGTGACCCTGAGATCTTCTTGCGTTGGTTTAAAATGCTCAATCTCGGTAGCTGCTTTGAGAAACAGAGAATCCAGTGACTTCCAGAGATACTTGCTCAGGAGAGCCTGGGCAATAGACCTCCGGCTATCCCCAAGCTGATCGTCATCCAAATCATCGTCGTTGGACGCCATGTACATCGTCTCGAGCCAGTTGACCAAATCGCATATTCGTTGCAGATCTCCGCTGCTTAGATACGGCAATAGAAATGTGTGAAGCGTTTCAAGATGAGAGAGTATATTATTCTCAAGCCTTCCAGCATACTCACTGCTCTTGGTATATGCTTCAATGGGCTGGTAGTCGGCCAAGAGGGGCCCATCTTGGAAGAATTGGGTGACGAGCTTCTGCTCATTGTGACAAATGTCCAAGACGTGCTGGACGCAAAGTCTAGCAAAATGCTCGAAATCGGTGTCCGGCTTCTCTTTTGTAGCGAACTTCTTGAGGTTCTTGGTAACCATAGTACCGACTGGCTCACGACTCTTGAGGAAAGCATCAATGAGCTGGTTGAATAGCTCATGATATTGGTGGACATAGGGACTTGATGCCTTATCATCACCTTTCTGCCCAAAAGCAAATTCCGCACTCTTTAACAACTTCTGTACAGGAAGTCCAAAGTTTTCGTAGACAGTCTCGTACTTTCCATAGAGCAGGATGTACTCGGCAGTTTCATTGTGCTCTTTTGCCTTGAGCTCCCTTGATACTCCATCCGAGACATCGTGAAGAGCAGACGAAAAAGATACCTGAACAAGGTCAAGCGCTCTCTCTAGCAACGTGGTGTACCGAGTCTTGTAGACTGTCGAGTCGCGGTAAGATGGCTGCCATTGTCAGATAATTTTTCCTTCATCCCGCTTGAATACAGGAGGACTTACATGTTGGTCCATGAAATCGATGCAGGTGTTCAAGTTCAGGAGCATTTCCAAGAAATCATCATTTCTAACAAGTCTTCCAGAGCCTGGGGCATTCAAACGCCTGGTCAGAGGTTCCAGATAAGCATAATATTGCAAGTCTGTTCCCACTTCGTCCGCCAGGTCTCGAAGACGTTTCTGTTCGGCCAACAGGTCTTCACATTGACCTTGAAATGCTGTTGTCTCAGACTCAACGGTCACAAAGGACTCGGAAAGAGAAGCCAATAGATCCAAAGCGGCTGTCGTATCACTGAGTAAGGTATCGAGATGCCGCTCGGAAAGTATGAGCTGATCTCTATAGAGCCTGCTCGAAAGTCAGGCATGCCTTCCAGACCGTAGAGGGTGGGTATAGTTACCGATAATCTTCTTGGCTCTCGACGAGTAGCTCATCCTCAAAGTCTTCGAAGCTGCTTCCAAGCACCCTAGTATCTATGACATTTTCTGAAGGACCAAACGAATCTTTGGGCGTTTCCTTCATACTTTCCTTGCCAAGATAAGAAACAGCGACATCGTAGAAGTCGCTGTAAGATTTGGCTCTTTTAGCAAGGGTTGCCACTGGTGGTCCTTTGAGGCCGGCGGTATCTTCATAGAGCTCCAGTATTGGGTCTGGAAGATCTGAAGCCTTGTTTTGACCCTTTGAGTATATTAGTAAAGGCCCAAGATAGTGTAGAGGGTTGTACATCTGGCTGTTTCAGTAAGGATTCCCTCCGCCGGTGTTTTGAAGCTTGTGACGCAGCATCATCTTTTTTGGACTGCGAATCTGGTACGAAGCTATACCAAGGACCATCGTACATGTTGAGACTGAGTTGAATTTTGAGGGACTGCTGTGCTGTGGTGTGCTGTGGTGTGCTGTGGTGTGCTATGTTTGCTCCAACACGAAGGACGAGGCTGACGATTTCAACAACAGGCTCTGTTTCGCTTCGGCTACTGGACAGGAGCTGAGGTCGATATGCACAGATCACTCACTTGGCGACCAGAGCGGTTATCAAATGGTATCGTCATGGATCCGCAAGGCTGAAGAAAGGCGCGAAATGAAGAAGACATGAAGAAGGGAAAAAAGAATGATAACAACACCAAACAAAAATTGATTAACCACCGAAAGAAACTCAAGCTCGGTATCAGATGATTGGACCTGCAAAATTAAATCAAACGATCCATTACCACACTCGCATATCTTCAGTATGATCTCGTCCAAGACCGCCCCGGGCTCTCGTCACATTCAACATGCACGCATTCGACTGTCGCGAGGACCACTGGCTGCATCTCATCGACGATACATTGGAAACCAAAGCCAGGCACAATCCAGGGTTGCCCGAGCAAGACCAGCTCGAACAGCAGGCCTTCTCTTATCGATCACTGCAGCAGGAGGCCTCCTCCATTCCCTGGGCTACCCAAGAAGTCTGCATGCAGAGGAAATACCTGCCCCAGCCGAAGTTATATTTGAAAAACCGAGAAGGAAGGGGAGTTCGCGCGAGGATAACCGGGATTTGATCAGCTCACAGCATCTGCAAGTTAAGAAGAGCTGGGAGACTCCCGGAGTATATGCGTGGGGATCCAATATTGGTCGAGTAGTAGCACCCGATTCGGACGAGCCCATCATCAAAACGCCCAGGAGAATCGAGTTCTTCAAGGGCAAGATACTTCGAGACATAAAGCTGGACAGGAACTTTGGCGCAGCCATTGCTGAGAATGGAGATTTGCTACAATGGGGCGCCGGCTTCTCGAATGCCACGGAGCCAACAATAACGTTGAGAGGCAAAGGACTAATCAAGTTGACTATTTCTCGGGACCGCATAATAGCCCTTTCTTCGTCTGGACAGGTTTACTCGATTTCTGCAAGCCAGAAAGATCAGCTCTCGGGGCCCATGCCACTGGAAAGCTCATGGATTCCATTCTGGAGCAGTAAATCCAGCATCAGCTATCGGACAATCCAGCCAAAGGATATGTCATGGGGCGAGAAAATATCAGATATCAGCAGTGGTCTCGAGCATACTCTCATTCTCTCTTCAAAGGGCCGTTTATTTTCTGTTGCCACCGCAGACTCTTCATCTTATCCGTGTAGAGGACAGCTGGGAGTTCCGGGGTTGACCTGGGCAACCAGGCCGGCCGGTCCAGTCGATCAACCACACGAAATCAGCACTCTGAAAGGATTCGAAATATCGAAGATTGCTGCTGGAGATTTCCATTCTCTTGCAGTAGATAAAGTTGGCCGGGTTTTTGCATTTGGAGACAATTCGGTTGGTCAATTAGGATTTGATCCTTCCCAGGAATCGCCCATCATCGACGCGCCTTCTCTTTTGCCGATCGACAAGCTCTACAAGGGAACCTTTCTTCTTCCCAAAGTCACGAATATCGCTGCTGGTGGAGTCAACAGCTTTTTCACCATCGATGCGACCCGAATTGCTGGGCAAGGAGAGGATGACCCTCGAGGTCTTGGACGTGTCACTGCAGATACTTGGGCATGTGGGCAGGGCATCTTCGGTGGCCTGGGAAATGGGAAGTGGACCCATGTGCAAGGCACTCCGACGAAGATCAAAGCATTATCAGGCCTCTTTGAGTACGATGAGGTCAAGAATACTGTCATTCCAATCCGTTTAGCTCGCCTTTCTGTTGGGGATACCCATATGGCCGCCGTGATGGACAACCTTACTTACCTAGGAGCTACCAAGGACAGCAGCGAGAATGATACAAATTGGGGAGCTGACATTTTGTTCTGGGGAGGGAACGAATACTATCAGGTTGGGACTGGGAAGAGGAAAAACGTGAACAACCCCACTTACATTGCTCCTCTTGATGTTCAAGCCGATAAAGAGAAGGGGAGGAGGGAGGAGCACAGATTCCAAATAACTCCACGGACGAAGATCAAATTGGGTGGAAGAAACGTCAGCGTGGAGCAGAGGGTCGAGTGTGGGAGAGGCGTGACGGCGGTGTACTCTGGAACATGATGGACAGTTCAATGTTCTGTATGATACCATGCCATTGTGGAAAGCAGGGCGGCTCTTAGGCCATGTAATTATTACTTCTTTTGGTGCGTTGACCCAAATTTCATGATATCCACTCGGGGTGTTCTGTATATAAATACAATTTTTCTGTTCGTGAGTAATGAATCATCAATTTCAACGTGTGAGCAATTGACGTTACTCTCGAAATTTCCCCAAAGAATTATTTGCAGCCGGTGTGAACATTGTGCTAGATACCGGTAGCTTCTCACCTCTGGGCCCTGACATTCCTCCGGTTGAAAGCCGAACTCACGAAGCGAGGCTGAACCGCGGCCGCGATTTTCTTGACGAGGGAGGCAAGGTCGGAAGATATTCTCCACAAGTTGTTACTCCCCACGGCCCTCCTCTCCTGTATTTTCTAAACACCTCGGACCTCTGATTAAACTCGAACCGCGATGTGATTGATGCCCCGGGATGCGCGTCGTCACCAGAAGTAGGACCCCTTCGCGATTTTAAGGATGCCACAAGCATGCAGATATTGGCTGCAAGGGAATTGCCGCCACGGAAGTGAGTAGGCCTACGCATTCGATCTCTGTAGCTATAGTCGGAGCTAAATGCCAGTGCAGATAATTGCAGATTTCTGCATGAGAACCCAAAGTCAAATTCGACCTCGAATCCGAATCAGCAGCCTGTTAACGGCAATCGATTCGCTGCCCTACAGGACAACTCGAATACGCGGAACAATAACAATGGCTACCAGAACAGAGGCAAGAGGACATTCCTCCGCCGCCGAGTTTAACTAACCGCCTTTGCAGCACCGCCTGCCAGCACATTACCATACTCCCTTGACAAGAACTTAATACGCGTCGACTTGACATCGGAGAGGCCGCAATGGATTCTATCTGCGTATGGACCGGGGAGGGCAGCTCCAGCGCAGCTATTCGGCGGACCTATACGTGAGCAGAGCTTCGAGGAAATGCGACTCCTTCACTACGTGGCAGCAGCAGCAGGGAATCCTCAGCAAGCAGTAGGTCGACTTGAGTGGAAACACATGGCAGGGAACTAAGTTATTGCAGGTTCGAGATGCAGAGCAATTATTCCAGTCTGCGGAGCAACAGATCCAGAACGCGGTCAACAACATCGATGGTGCTATAAACTTTGTCATTGCTGCCGAGAAGGACCATCCGAATAGGATAGATATTGTCAAGGAAAGCCTGGCTGCTAGACCTGGTTCACAGACGAATCCTCTCAGCAATCAGTCGACTCTTCAGCAGGCAGCCAATGTGCCTTTTGGCGGAGCAATCCAACAGCCAGCTGGACAGGCATTTGGTTCCCCATCAGCTTTCGGAATACCACCGTCTGCACCAGCTTTCGGTGCGCCAACCAATCTAGGTGGTAGTGGTGGGTTCGGTCAGCCCTCAGCTCTGGGTCAGAAACCGAATGTGTTTGGAGGGACTACACAGCTTGGCTCTGGAGGAGCTTTCGGGCAACCCTCTGCTCTAGGCCAGAAAGCCAATCCTTTTGGAGCTCCGTCTTCAAATACCACTGCAGCCCCATTTTCTGCTTTCGCTAGCAATCCAAACCCCTTTGGACAGAAGCAGCCGGAGTCAACACCATTCGGATCAAGTCCCTTCGGAGCTCCTCAACCTCCTGTTTCCAATCCTCTCGGGGCACCTTCTCTGCCAGTTGAAGCGAATCCCTTTGGCCAGCCGTTCAATCAAGGTCCAACTCCAACTGCGAACCCGTTTGGAACAGGAACCCCAGCATTTGGTGCATCAACTGCTGAAAATAACGCTTTCGGAGCACCAAGTTCGACTTTTGGAGCAACAAGTTCCGCAAAGAATCCATTCGGTGATCGGCCACCATCATCAGGGAACATAAACCCGTTCATGGGCCGTACCTCCAACGAACCTCAAAACCTCGCGGCTCCCAATCCATTTTTAAACCCAGTCTCGGGTCCACCCGTTTCCCCAAACCCTTTCAAGCAGCCACCGCCAGCTGGCCCTCCTCCAGCTACTGGAATCAGATCCGGTGCTCCACCACGACCAATTTCCACCAACGCAGAGCTGGGCGCAAAGCATCCTGACATAGGCACCTACAGCACGAGAAACAAAGGGACGAATAGGCTGCTCACATTCAAGGGGCACAAAGTCATTTACAAAGACGATATACCCCCAACTGAGGGGAAGCCCGCCGTAATGGGTACCCCGGGCTTCACCGACGCCAACGGGAACTGGGAGCGGATATGGTTTCCTGATGGGCCGCCAGTGTTTAACAAGGACACGGCGATGCACGACTCGATGTACGACGAGGCGCTCGAGGTGGCTTACAAGCACGCGAAGGCGACGGGGGCGTTCGAGGGCGGAAAAATGCCACTGCTGCCGCCGAAGAGGGAGTGGTGTAGTTGGGAGTTCTAGTCGATTCCAGGATGGGGATGCATTTAAAAAAGGTGCGGGCGTAGGAATGAGAGGATTATAAAGGAAAAGGAAAAGAACTTCATTACTGCATACCGCTGAGTGGGAATGGAGGGCATATTGAGGCGGGCGTTGGAGACAATTTTGCTCTGCTAAGACGTGTATGGAGTACAAGACGAAATGATACTATTTCAAAACTCAATATAGACTGTGATTCTTTCCTCTCTCTATATGCCCTTCTCTCTGCATGGAGGGAGTCGTTTCAGGAATTACCGGCAGCATATTTGAACTTGTGATTCATTCCTCCCTGTCCTGACCTTCTCTCCCCCCTT